ATCAAAATAGTGTTACTAAATATACGCTAAATCACCAGGTCAAATTTCATTACGATAGTATATATTTATAATGCTCCTACCTACCTGGAACCCGACGTTTCGCCTGCTTGTCTCCCAGACTACCCATGCTGCGACTAGACCTGATACTGCTAGAACCGGAGGTTGTGGTCTCAGAACGCGTAGATATCATGGGTGCGGCCTGTCTGGTGGGTGCCACAGATGCTGTCAGGCCGTGTTTCGCTCGTACGGGCAGTCTACTTCTACCCCGAGGTGGATTGGTTGGTCCGTTTTGCGTGGAAGGGGGCAGCGGTCGATGGCGTTTGTCGGAGAGATCTAGGTGCGGATTGGCTAAGGGCCGAAATCTTTGCAAGCCCACGGCCACGTACTCCTCCGGTCCTTTGAAGATGTCCTCCATTGTAAAGACCTTTTCGAAACAAAGTACAAAAATTCGTAAAATAGACATTCGCGCGCCCAGACACTCGGAAGCGCAGAAGAAATTTGATTAAAAAAAGTTTATTTCATCTGGGGGCGGGGCCCGGTTTTGTGATATCAGTATTGATCAAAAATATTAAAAAGGGAGATTTTGCAGACTTGAATAGTTCCTTTGACCCAATTGGGGAAAAATCGGTGGCCTCGGTTGGATCCGGACAACTGATATTATCGAGAAGGCTTCAGAATAACAAACAATCTAACCAAATGAGCCACAAGAGCACACGCCGTAAGGAAAGTATGCTTGGACATTCACTCGGTCAGTGGATTCCGTACGTTGTAAAAGACTAAGCTGGTAATGTTAAAGATGTGTAATTTAAATCGCAGCACCCGGTGGAGCGTCGAAGCTTATTCGAATAGTGTTAGCCGTATCTTTGTTGTTTTGGACTCATATTGCATCAAGGCCCCCAAGATATGCACAATTGAAGAAAATAAATCACAATAATCTCGGATTGCTACTGCAGCAGCTGGGCCGTGTAATTTCCTTAGTTCAGAACTGAACCATCATAGAATCTGGCCCCATCATAGATCGAAGGCTCGCGTACGCCATTGTGAAGTTCAAACCGTCTGATGCTTTACTGCCCTTCTTAGCCTGGTCGATTTAACTTTGGTGTCGGGCGTTTCTCTAAAAACGGGTCCTCTAATGTAGTAACACGTAAAACCTCACTTGGCTAATATAAGTTCAATATTTGCCACGTTTCTATCTTAGATATGTCTCACGGTTTTCAGCCCTCAGTCAACCAACATGCGCAATGATCTCCTGTCTTTATATGCTGGATTGATAGTTCGGCAGTTCAGAGTAAATTGCCACGCTGGTAAGCATTGCTGCTAGTCAGCACAAGCGAGCTTTTTCTAGTGCCTGTATCAATGAGCCAAATTAGACAAGAACACACGCGAGATAATAAGTAATTGACAACTCAAATAGGAAAAGTGAGACCATTAAAACTCTTTGATGAATGTTCACCGATCGCTAACGGAAATCACTCGTTCCGCTCTGCCTGAACGATCATCAACCAGCACTAGACCTCTGGTCGTGAGTTCGAGCGTCGGGTGATGCAGCACTTGGGGTTAGGTATGACCGGCTGACGGCGGCTTATGAGCCAAAATGGCCATTCCAGTCTCCCGCGTCTTTGCCGGCAATGCTACCAGTCAGACCATTATTGTAGCCCATGCGGCAATCCGCCACTTTTGATAGACCTATAGTTGCAAAAGACTTGCATCTTATCATGGTCGTGATGCTTGTACAAAAACATGACGGTAGCGTCCGAAGGAGCGTGTATCGAAAGCAAACCTGGTCTGGACAGTACACGAATTTAAACAGTTTCGTACCCCTTCAACAGAAGCAAAATACAGTTCGATGCTTAGTGCAAAGGGCTAGGAAAATGTGCTCAGCAGACAGTATTGAGGAGGAGCTCAAGAAAATCTAGGACCTACTACGTGAAAACGGGTATCCTGAGAGGTTTGTTACAAAGAATATGGCGGAGAAACAAATAAGAACTACCGCACCTACTGTAGAAAAGAAAACGCTATTCCTCAAAGTTCCCTTTCGAGGGGACGCAGCAAATGAACTACTGAAAAGGCGCTTTGATCGAGCCGTTGGAAGAACCTTCCCAGCAGCCAGAGTTCAAGTTTTATTCTCAACTAACCACATCTTACATGGGGAGGGTAAGGATAGGTTACCAGCTCAGACCACCTCAATGTGCATCTACTCTTTCACTTGTTCCTGTGGAGCAGGTTAGATTGGTCGCACGAGCCGGCGCCTATTTAAAAAAATGAAGGAATAACCCCCGGCATGACTGAGAAAAGGTGAAGTCAGGAGCATAAACAGCTCTATTCTGGTGCATATGGTCGATTCCAGACATCGGGTTGACCCCAACGTAGCTTTCCGAGTCATCTACAGGGTCCCACCAAATTGTCCGAAGTCCCTGAGTCAGCGCCTGCTAGCAACAGCAGAAGCGACCGCTATC